GAATGCCTTCAGGGCACTTTTGCATGGCTGGAGTGTTGTGGGGATTGAACTACAGCAAACTGAGGCTGCCAGCATTGTGGAAGCAGCCACTTAAAGAACGGAGCTAGGGCTAGGCCCCCTGCAGTGAAGAATTTAACATAGGAAATATAAGAGGTATAAAGGAGGAATAAGTGATAATTAGAAGTTGTTGGAGGGTTAGGATTGGGAGAATCTAGCATTCTGTTTTTCCAAATTACAGTTGGAATGCAGCCTGCCATGTAGAGAAGAACTTACTAGAATATTTTAACCCTAAGCACAGGGGTGCTTCAAAAGGTCTTGGGGCACTCTGGTTACAAATAATTGGTGATATTTATAATTACAAATACTAAAAGCCAACTGTGTTGATTTGCAGGGTGGGATTTCCAACATTTTGGAGGAGATGGTTGTCCAGCCTTTGTTGGTTTCAGTCAGTGCTCTGACCCTAGCTACAGAAACCGTCCGGCATTTTGAAAATTGATGATGTGGTAAGTATACTGGTTGCAAATTCTCTACAAGGCCAAACTGCATTTTTTAAAGTTTTGTGACAGTGGTGTTTTAATAAATATTTGCTTGTAATCAAAAGTAGTAACAGATCATAATGGGTGTTTTCCCATCACTAAAAGTGAGAGAATTTGGATAATTACCTTTGAACACCTTCCAGTCTTAAGATTCTAAAACTAGAATCCAAATTTTTCTCTTTATCAGGTGAACACTCGATAAATCTGAATACACAGGCTGACTGGCAGCATTACACTGCCAGTACTGCAACTCAAATGTAAGAAGATCTAGTCCTTGTTGTTCAGAAGATTGTTTTCCTCTGTGAATTCCTGGACTTGGTCTTCGGGTTGGTGTTTGCTTGAAATTGTATTGAAACAACTAAATATTAAAATATCTCTTTTTCAAAAGGCTAATTGGTTTATCCCTCAGTTTGTTTTTTGTTTTGTTTTTTGGCAGAACCGGGGATTAAACTCAGGCCCTTGCGCTTGGCAGGGAAGTGCTTATTCCTCTGAGCCATCTATCTCCCCGCCCCCCCCCCATTGTATTTGTGATACTTTTGCAAAGCTATATAAGCAATACTATACAAAGATTTAAATTTTTTTCTTCGTTTTACTGTCCACACAAGTTATTTATTTGTCATGAGAATTAAGTATTCCCTAGCCCACATATTCATGTTCATAGTTCAGGAACATTGATCAGTGACAAATGTCTGTAGAATTCAATCCAAAGAAACCTTGTTATTCCTACATCACCTCACACTCTGAAAGATACCAGCCTTCCTCATTTCTTCAAAATCTTTCATGGAATCATAATTTCTGTAGAAATTTGCATATGCCTTTTTTGGTTCAGCCATACCCAACTTCTAGAGAGCTGCAACCCCCAGTGAGACATCAAATGCTCCAGCAGTATGAATCTGCAGGCGCCTGGTCAGAAGCCCCCACATCTGAGGTTTTGCCAGCACACTGAAACTCATGGTCGTTACTGTTCTCAACACCAGTTTCCTTTCCTTACATGTATTTTACTTAGCCACTTGCCCATTGTATTTTAAGCTTTTTAAAAGTAGAAAACAGCACTCAAGAGGCTGAGGCAGAAGGATCAATGCAAGTTTGAAACTAGCCTGACTACAAAATTAGTGTGAGGCCAGACTGAATTGCATAATGAGACCCTGTCTCAAAAAGCTCCCCCCCCCAAAAAAAAAAAAAAAGTAGAAGAGTAGACCAAAAAATGACTGATAACATGCCTATTAGCATTAAAAGAGGATAATGCACATGCTGTTTTAGACAAAAGATACAAAGATTAAGAAAAAAATAGGGCCAGCCAGTTAGCTCAGTGGACTAAAGCACCTACTTGGGCAGAGCACAGCAGCCAGGGTGCACTTAGACTGAGATTGAGACTGGGCATGGTGGCACATGCCTGTAATCCCAGCATTTGGGAGGCTGAAAACAGAATCATTACGAGTCCAATCTGTGTAGTGAGACCCTGTACTAATACATAAAGAAAAAAGCCTCCCTGTAATATTTCTCTTTAAGAATACTGTTGTGTTACTTGAGATCTTTCTACAAATTCAGAAGTCAGTGCTGAGGTAGGGGAATAGCTTGGTGATGGTGTTTGCTTAGCATTCCTGAAGCCCTAGTCAATCTCAACCCCCAGTATGTTTCTACCAAAAGAAAGTACTCATGTAGCACAATTTTTTTTTTTTTTTTTGCTACAAAAGATATTGACCAATACATCTTGGCTACAGGTGTCAGCTCTTGCCATGAATAGTGTAAAATCACCTAACCCAACCAATGCTGCACACATTTAACCTAGGAGTTTTGTTTTGTTTTTAAGAGATTTGCTGTGTAATTTAGTCTGGCCTCAAACAGTGATCCTCCTTAGATAAATGCCATCATGCCAAGCAAATTGGTGATCATTTTGTATTTATCACCCAATCTACAAAAGCTTTATGCAGCTTTTAAGTAAAAGGTATAAGATAGAATACAAGTTTGGTCTGCATTATATTAGGGTTTTTGAGATGGTCTATAATTCAGGCTGGCCTGGATTTAACTCATGGCAGGCCTCCTGCCTCAGCCTCCCAGATTTTGGAATTACAGGCATACACCATTACTCCCAGCTCCACAGAATATTTTATATCATGAAATAAAACTAAGATTTAAGTAATTAAAATTCTTAAAACTCTTACAAGAAATGTTTCCTAACTGGTTTTTTTTAATTTATATTGGAAGATTTGACTTGGGTTTTTAGAAATTTATAGTACTTAATCTAAGCCAGTTCTGTTTTAGGGGATAGAAGGCAAATGAGAAAGTTTGTACAAATAAGGTTTGATACATACATTACATGAGGATATTCCTGGAAAGGCAGAAGTTTTGTATGGGCCTGTTTATTCCAGGGTTATTCATTACAGGTTTTTTTTTTTTGTTTTTTTGTTTTTTTTTGTTGTTTTTTTTTTTAATAGCACAGGCTCTATAGGATCTGTTTTCAGCCTCCCAAGCGCTGGGATTACAGACCACGCCCAGTCTCATTCTGTCTCAGCATGCCCTGAGAGCTCTCAGGGCAGCACAGCTTTTGTTAAACTTGTGAGGGATGTAGCAAAGTACAGTGAGGCATAGTAACACATGCCTATGATCCCAGCACTCAGGAGGCTGAGGCAGGAGGAGGATAATTGAGGGTGTGAAGTTGGGCCACAAAGTCAATGAGCTTACCGCCAGCCTGAACTCCATAGTGAGACTGCCTAAAAAGACCAAAAAAAGAAAGAAAAATGTTTTAAATAGTATAAACATTGGATGTACTCTGTTTACATTCAACAGTTGTTAAATCTTGTTTGATGGTGCATGCCTTTAATCCCATGACACAGGAGGCAGAGACTGGAGGATTGTTGTGAGTTCAAGACCAGCCTGGACTACAAAGTGAGCTTAAGGCCAGCCTGAACTGTATAGTGAGACCCTGTCTCAAAAAGACTGGAAAAAAAAAAAAAAAAAAAAAAGTTATTGGCACTTCACCACTCAGTTTTTAAGCATGTTTATGTCAAGTAACTCTAGTATGAAAATGCTGTGCATAGAAATCTGTAGAATTTCAGTTTAGTAAAACATTGTATTAATGTTTTGTTTTTGTTCTTATCTTTTTGAGATGGTTTCACTGCACACCTGAGGCTGGTGTGGAACTCAACAAATCTCCAGTCTCAGCCTCCAAGTGCTGGAACTGCTGGCATGCACCACCATGCCCGGCTTTTGCTGTTAATGTTTTAAAAGTTAGATCTCCCCTCTAGTGACACACACATTTTGGAAAAGATTAGATTATGGAATCTAGTGATCGTGCTGCTGGGAGGTGGTGCCTACCTGAGGGAGGCAGGTTCTTAGCCACCAGAAAAGTGGCAGCTTTTTCTCTGCTGTGCCATTCTCCCCTGAAACCTGCCCACTATGGACCGTAACCAAGTCAAAGTAAACCTCAAGTTGTGGGTGATAGGTGGCTCTCAGCAGTGAGAAAGTGACTCAGGCCAAGCACGCACACAGGTCTTTGAATTTGATCTCCAACACCACCATCAAAAATATCAGGAAGTGTGCTTGGGATGCAAAACAAGGAACCTGGTAAAACCAGTTAGTCTTACACATGTTGAATGGCTAAGAATTACTACATTAAATATGGTACTTATGCTCAAAAATACCTCAAGTTTGCTTGCTCTTACAAGTGTTACATGTAGTTACTGCGGAGTCAGGTCATCTGAAGAAGAGTAACATTTGGTATGGAAGAATTTTAGGGGGTTTTTTTGGTGGGCTTCCATTACTGGGGGTTGAACCCAGGAGTTTCAAACTGATTTACATGGTACATGCCCAGCCCCTTTTTCGATTTTGAAACAGGATCTTGTTACCAGGCTTCACTTGAACTGGTAACACTGAGAAGGCTGAGATCACCAGTATTACCTCCATACCTGGCTAGGACTTACTTTCTCAATTAAGTACCAATGCCAGTTTCATGCTTAAGAAAACATGTAGCTGGTACATGCCTGTAATTTGAACTCTTGGGAAGCTGAGGCAGGAGGATCATTGCAAGTTCAAGAACAGCTGGGACTACAAAATGAGCTCAAGGCCAAGCTGAGTACATAGTAATATCTTGTCTCAGACAAAACCAAAAAAGTACCTAGTACTCAACCGATGTTCAGATTTTCCAACTCATCCCCAGAATGTCTTGCATTTTTAAGACCTCTTTTGATATACATACTGCATTTTTGCCTTTCTAGTATAATTTACATTTACTCTCACATTTTTTTTTCACCTTTTTTTTAATAGTATTGACTTCCTGAAGAGTCCAGGACTATTTTGCTATGGATTTCCTCTTTCTTGTTCCTCCAGCTCTAAATAGGCTTAGATTAAACATAAATCTTTGAAGAAAGAAAAAAAAAAAAAAAAAACATATATATATATATATATATATATATATAGTACAAGGTCTCACTATACAGATCTAACTCAGAGATTCTCCTGTTTTCAGCCTCCCAAGCGCTGGGATTACAGGCATGTGCCACCAGGCCGGGGATTAAACCCTGGTCCCTGCATTTTCCTTAGCAGGCAGTTTAACAGTTTAGTCCACTAAAGCTATTTGGCCAGCCCCTATCTGTCCATTTTTAACTCCCATACATCTTAATACCTAAATCCCCCAATGAAGACATAATTCCGCTGAATGTGATACAACCTGTGTACAACTAAAACGCTACACCATTTCTCAGAAGAGGAGTTAAAGCCCTTGAGTGATATTTATGCTGACTTTCCCCTAACTTAAATTGTGTGATGTATGATGAATATAAAATCAACATGCTATATGATAAGGTTATACACATGTGTATATTATAACCATAAAATGAGAAATGGGCTTGTGGCAATTACAGTCTCACATTTTTCCTCCCATTTACTGGGGATTAAACCCAGAGCTTGAGCACTGAGTTGTATCCCTAGCCTTCCTCTCATTTTTGGAAAAGTTTTAATATTTCATCTCCACCCCCACTTTTTAAAGTGTAATAGTAATTTTGAGACAGGTTCTTACTGAATCAGAGTCGCCCAGTTGGGCTGGAACTTGCAATCCTGTTTTCGCCTCCCAGAGTGCTGGATTACAGGGGTGTGCTACTATGTCTGGCACAGTATCCACTCTTCTTACAACAAGCACATCAGCTGGTCCTGGTAACTCAAACCTTTTTGAAGGGTCATAAGTATTAGTCCTGCTTGAACTGGGTTGCAAGATATCCTAAGGGCTCTCTTCAGTGCATTATTCTTTGGAATACTAGTTCAATTTTTCATGGTCATTCAGTCATCTCATTCAGAAACATAACTTCTTTGTTAATTCTGAGGCATGAGGAGTCAAGAGTAGCTGGATCTTTTTTTTTTTTAATTATTTATTTTTATTTATTACATTTATTTATTGTGTG